GAAGACAAAAGCAAAGATATTTAAAAGTAATCTAATGTAATAAAAGTTGAATGATTATGGTATTGAAAATAGTGTGAAGCTTCAGAGTGGTTAGTGTATCCCAATTTGAGAAATAGTACAAAATATGTCATGTGTTTTTTAAAAAAGTTTGGTGATTCAAAGATTAATAGTAAAAATATTTATTATTTGTCTAGCCTTCAAAACTTTAAAAAGAATAACATCTATCTATCTATATTCTATATTCTATATATAATTAAAAGGAAGAATGTCTAGCCTACGATTATGCCAAGTGGCAGCTTAGGATCAAGACATTTGGTATATTTTGGCTAACAGTAAATTCACTATATGAAATTCGTATTACATTTCATGTTAGTAAATCAATTTAGGTAAGCCTAATAAATGAGAGTTTCTTTATTCTTAAACTTTATATCAATTAAATGGTGTCATATGAATTAAAACAAAAATACTAATAATAAATATTTATTTTACAACTATATTACCCTTAATTATTATAAGTCATCTTATTCATTAGGGAAATGAATAATAATACTTAAAAATAATTATCTCTTATATTTTATTAATTAAATAAGTGAATATAAATAGTATACCAACGAAAGTAAATGGATGAATATATTTGTATGAATGTCATCATTCGACCCCCCCCCCCCCTCCCAAAAAAATCAATAAATTTGGAATAAATAACTTTTGAATATTAATTAAATTTTCTGAAAATAAAGCATAAATAGCAGATTCAAAGAACAAGATAAAAATAATATTTCAAGATAAGAATTTAAAATTTAACACTTGTAATTTTAAGATGATTACAATTTTTCCACTTTATCGTAATTGTAGGAGTTTTAAACATCAAGTACATGCCTCACAAACACATTCTATCTAATTATTGATAATATAAAATAAAAGAATTGCTTCACTATTTTTAAAATTATTTACAATGATAAATACAAAATGTATATATTGATTTTATGTTCATGATTGTTTTTAACGTTAAATTATTTATTACTCACTCTATTTAATTCATTTTTAATTATAATTTAAATTTAACTAGTCACTCTATTTGAATTCATTTTTAATTATAATTTTAGTTGAATTTTAAAAAAGTAAAGAATATTTTTGAATATTTTGATGAATAAAACATGTGTAAAACGTACAAAATATCCTTTATTCTTATGATATTAATCATTTTGTGTGAAAAAATAGTTTTAAAAAGTATATATACATGGTCTCACAAGCAACATTCTATCTAATTATTAATAAAATAAAATAAAAGAATTGATTCACTGTTTTAATTAATTAGAATGATAAATACAAAATGGATATATTAATTTTATGTTCATGTTTGTATTTAATGTCAAATTATTTATTACTCACTCTATTTTAATTCATTTTTTATTATAATTTAAGTTGAATTTTAGAAAGTAAAAAAATATTGTTGAATCTTTTGATTTTGAATAAAACATAGGTAAAAATGTACAAAATGTCCTTTAGTCTTATGTTATTAGTAGTTTCATGTGAAAATTTAGAATAAAATGCTTTCTAACAAGGAAATAAAAATATTTCAATTAAGCAAAATAAAAGAAATAGCATGGAAAACATGTATAAACATATGAAATAAATTTTCATCAAGATAAAATAATAAAAAATTTAATGTTATCCTTATTAAAATTTAAACATTATATATAATAAAACTAAAAGCACATCTGATTATTGCTATATAAATAATATATTAGTAATATTATAAAAAATAAATTGTATATTTAATAATATTAATTTATTGTTCTCAAATAAATAAGTTAAATGATTTGTATCATTATTTTTAAAATACACATTATTAAATGCATGATAAATCTTATAAGTTATTTTAAATTAATATTAAAACATTTTAAAATATACATGTAACGCGCATGTACGTGCACTAGTGAATTAATAATAGAAGAGGTAAAAAAAAAAGACAACTATTAGCACCACAACAAAAGTATTTATCACTAAAATTTAAAATCTTTATTTCAAAATATTTTTGACAAGGAATATAGAAAAAAGTGAAAAAAAAGAGCCGCAGAAAACACTCAATTGTTACAATTGATGCAATTTCTCCAGGATAATTTTTTTAAAAAGGTGGTACAAATTTAAAAATAAAATTATTAAATTATGAAAAATTAGATAATTATAATTCAACCCCTAAATTTATTTCTACGGTTTCTCCCCCAACGTGTATTATTAGCTACTGCTTTTCGAATTTAAGTTCAATAATAAATAAATATATTGCAGTTTTCTTCCCAACGTGTATAATTAGCTACTCCTTTACAAATTTAAGTTTAATAATAATTAAATATATATATCAAAAGACTCCCCCCGTTCATTTTTAGTTGTCACTGTTTGACTTGACACACCCATTAAGAATATAATTATTGATATATGTATTTTACCATATTACCCCTATTAATTGATGTTTAGTATTAAATCTTGGAAGATAATTTGGAGAAAAATATTTAATGCTAAGGGTAAAACATGGAAAAAAATATTTGTATTTTCCTGATATGTCAAAAGTAACAATTAAAAATGAAAATTTATTTTAATAATAAGTGACAAGTAAAAGTGAACGGATAGAGTATAACATAACTCCCCACTTCCTCGTTTATGGAACTGTAGCTGAAAAAGTCTCTTCATAAATACCATAATTCCTTTTAAATTCTCATGGAGTTATTTTCTTATTCTCATGGTGTCAAAATTCATCTATCTATCGTCGCAACAACCCCAACACTTCCATCCATAAACCTCTAAAGCTTCACCACAACAAAGTGACATACCCTCATTTGAAACTCAATTAGTAATTAATTATTGGAAATGAATTTTTGTTGAAGAGTGAAAAATTTTGTTCGAGTTATTTGGTCCATTGTCCAGGTTCCGTCATATGTGTTGCCGACTGTTGGTTAGGGGGATGGATATGCCCTTCTTCCTGTGTTGTTATTCCGTTGTGTTCTTTCACTTGATTGTTTTAGTATTTCACGGGACTTTTCTTGATCCTTCACTGACTCAACCATATATGAAGTTGACGATGCAGAGATCAAGGGTGGTAGAGTCAAGGGTGATGATGAAAGAAAAAACACTTGAAATCCCCCCCCCCCCCGGCAGCCCCCGAACTTGGCAACAAAGTTTACTTTAGCCCTTTAATTTTATGGATAATTATTTACCATTGATCTCTTTTCAAGTGAATTTAATATCACCCTAAAATTATAATATTTGTCTCAAAATGGCAAGTGTATTTCACATGCGCCATGTCATCGATACATCAGCTTCACATCATTGCCACATTGAACATTATTTAAATTTTGACTTTTTTATTATTATTATTATTATTATTATTATTATTTATTCATAATTTTGAAAGTAAAAATTCTCAAGAAATGAGCTTGATTGTTCCTCAATTCCATCAAGATTACAATTGAACAAACTCAAGTCAGGATTGAAAGATTGATCCAAGATTTCAAAATCATTCTCACAAAAACACACTCAATATTTAAGAAACATTATCAAAACAAATAAATAATAATAACTGAAAAATTAATTTGAGATGAAGGAATTATAAATTTTTTCAATAAAAAGAGCTTCAAGTTCATCATATTCAAACACTACCATTTGAAGCAAGAACGAATTGTTGGTTTTCTTTCCCTGTTCAGCACACCCCTTTACTAATCAAAATGAAATGGGGTAGGGGTGGGGGCGATTCGAAGAAGGAGAAAGAAGATGTGGCGCGCTTCACACTATGAACAAGACTCTACTAGATGTGGCTTATGAGACATCATCCTAGAATCATTCTAAACCTTGTGCTCTAATTACCAAGTTTGTCACGACCCAGGAATACACCCTAGATGTAACATGGTGTATTTGACCCCGAAGGGGTCTCATACAAGCCCTTAGCATATCATAACATAGGATAAAAGAAATAATGCAGAAATTTTAAAACTTTATCCATACAATCAAAGTCTTTTCTAAAAGCAAGCGGAAGTCTAGACTTGTCTCATTATAGACATCTATTACAATACTTGAATAAAAAATAGGGTCACATCCCTTTCAACATAATCCGAAAATGAAATACTAGAAAGAAACTACAAATGACTCATACGTCCTCGAATCATGAGGACTCATCAACTAGTAAGGAGAATGATCAATTCCAAGCTCTAGCCACAAAATGAAACCAAATTGAGTGCCAATCCCTACACTTGGGGGAAAATATGGGTTAGTACAAAAATGCACTAAGTATGATAGCCATGCATAAAATCATGAAATCATGCTAAAAAGGGACATTTTAGTTGAAAAGCGTGCACTTTATAAAGTTTAAGAATCATCATGCACATTAGTATAAAAGCATAAGTCACAAGCATATTCAACATATAGATCATCATAGCATGATAGAACCATCTCTCAAGTAACCCAAAGTCATACTTGTGCAATGCATAGATAAAATCCCATAATCCCATCTATACTAAGTACAAGAAAAATGACTTTTTACGAAAGGAAATCCGATCGTTAAAAGTCCATATCCAGTCGTTAAAGGTCTATAACGACCGGGCAAAAAATGGTTGTCACCGGTCGTTAAAAGCTCCGTCGTTAGAGGTTAACGAACGGATTGCATAGCCGGTCGTTAGATACTACTTAGCGATAACGATAAATCCGGTCGCTACATTTACTAACAACGACCACAAATTCCCTTCATTGATGGTCATTTGGTCGTTGAACTAGTCGTTACAAGTACTTTTATTTGTCAGATTCTTTCATTGATTACATTACTTTTACCGACCAAGTTTAAATTCCTTTCGTTGATTTTAATAAATTTAATTACCATGTTTGTTTCACAAATTTAGTTTCAAATAATTATATATAGTTTTTATCCTCAAGCAGTTCCGGATCTTAGTATCATTTCTTTTTTTTCACAAGCCATAAAAAATTTAATATAAAATTTCATAATTGTTTTGCCATGAACGAAAACATACTGAAAAACTTACATATAAATATGTGTTCAACACAATATCTAAAAAACATACATGTTCAACTTAAGATCTAAATAACATAGATGTTCGACATAAATATTATAAAACAGACATGTTCGGCATCTATCGAATCCTAAAAATTGAGAAAATGAAATAGTTGCATATATAGGTTCAAACGTCTCTAGATCTACACCAACAATAAAAATATAATCTTTCTTTTCAGCTAGCTCCACAATTCTTCAACAACACGTCCTTTAATTTTCATCACATTCTTCATCTGTTAAAAAAAAAAAATTGAGGTCAATTCGTAACAGAATGCCGGATAGCTATAACATATAACTTTTAAAGCATAAATCAATCATTTAATCACCAAAGAGCCCAAATCATTCAACACAATATTATATATACACAAAGAAAGCTATAAAAAAAACTCAACCAAAAGGGGAAATGCATGGGATACTAATTTATAACACAAGAGACAAGCTTCATGGATAGTAAGAAAATGCATGGGATACTATTCATTCTCTCGTCTAGTAAGGTTGATCAGTTGATGTTAGAAAATATTCTATGGCTTAAAAGCAACATAAAAAGCATTCTAAGTCTTTTTCCAGATTGCTATCATTTAGTCCAAGTGAAGAATATCATTTTTATACAAGAGCCAACATGTTTGACTTGTTACAAGTTGTTTTATAAAGAAATTAATTCATATCAATATCAATTATCTCTCTCATTTTAGAAGCAAATGTACAATGTATGTTCCATACATCATCTATAATGCTGAAAAGAGGATCCAACAATGTCTTAGCATTTGGAGAAAGCCACCAGGCCCAACTATTGAACTAGACTACACATAATTCATTTATGCAGTTTAATTTGAAGGACAGGAATACTAAAGGTTTTGAGAAGAATGAGGCTACAATGGAAGATATAACCTGTAGAGTTGCTTGTGTTTGTTGTGTTAGAGCTACTGCACAACCAAACTTTTATTAGATAGATGTAGCTTCTACCCAAGAAAGTGATCAAGGATATAGAACAAACCTACACGACCTTCTTATGGACACGGACAATAACAATGTCCAGAAGAGCATTGGTGTCATGGGAAACAATATGCAAACCACATGCTGCAGGTTATTCAATATCATAGAACTAAATAAAGTTATATGCTAATACTTAATTATCAATTGCAGAATGTAGTGAGAAAGGACTCTCTATGGATCTGATGGGTACACAATTATTTTATCAAAAGAAGGGAGATTGAAACTGTCCTCATACCTAAATCTGCATCATTATGGATAGTGAGGAATATATTGGGGTCTGGAGATGTATTGTTACAAGGACAAACTAGTTAGGGTGCTTTGATGGCTGAGTTTGCAAAGGTACAGAGGGGAGGCAAGTTCTCTACTTAGAAGATGTATATATACCTATCTCATGACCATATTTCCCAGACTCGAGTAGAAAAGTATTACCTTGCAACATGGAGTGCACCCTAGGTTCAAGTTTATTATGTGGCTGGCTGTCCAAAGAAGACTAGCAAAAGTAGACATGCTTGAAAAAATTGGTATACAAGTGCCACATGACTGTGTGTTTTGTAGTAAAACAGGGGAAAATTTTGATCAGACTTTTATGGGGTAGACTGTGCAGCTGGTTGGGATTTCACAGGGTTATTTTTTACCATAGAATACAATGGGCTGGGATCAGTGATATTGCAAAAAGAGTGTAGGACGAGCCAAAATTTCTACTAGTGTGTTTGTCATGCTAGTCTATGTTATATAGAGAGAAGGAACAAAATTAGATTCCAAAAAGGAAAGAATGTGCCTAGACATGGTCTTGAGGGAGGTCGTGACGCATATTCATCTCCGCGGCTAGCAAAAGGCAAACTGGTTGCCTGTACTTCAAAATCTAAATTTGTATCCCTAGGCATTTTTACAGTGTAATAAACATAAATTATTCTTGCTTTGTATGTCATAATGAGTAGTAATATGGATAGGCTAGAATGATATATAGCAGTTAGGCCATCACTGCTTTGTTTGTACTAAATAGTTTGGTTATGAATGAAAACTCCAGCTAACCAAAAAATATTATGATTACCAAGAAACAAACATCCAACAGTATAAGAAATGTATCGATGAAAATAGTATTAATCTACTGTGAACCTTATTATGGAGATAAACTAAAATGAGATAACCATCTTTCGCATTTACACAATTCAGAAAGTTCAACAAGTTTAAGATCATTATTCTAAAAGTATAACACAGTAAAGATTTAACACGCAACACAACTACTAAGGTGAACATGCAGGAAAGGAACTCAGTTCAGAACAAAGGAATACATCCTGATTAAAACAGAGATATGCATAATTCTATAAGCATGTAGTCTCGTTCATCATGGAAAGTAGTACAACTAAAGACAGTCTACCCTCTAAAATCCATGTAGTCTCGTTCATCATGGAAAGTAGTACAACTAAAGACTGTCTACCCTCTAAAATAAACTTATCATAGAAAGACAGACCACTGCATTAGCAAAGCCCTTATCAAAGATGAGCATTTGTTAATGACATTACTAAATTCATTGAAAAATACACATCATGGAATAGCTAATGAAAAGTTTGCTAACCTGGTGGAGGTGATGAACGTGATGGATGCTGACGAACCACTATACTTTCAAGGCGATCATATTTACTCTCTAGAATATCAATACGCTTTTGTAGTGATTCCTTTTCTTTTCGAGTTGTTTTCAGTTCTTCCAACAACACAGCCTTAGAAGTACTACCACCTTTCAACTCCTTAGTGGTTATCCCACCACCAAATCCAACTGCATGACTTTTGCATTGAAGTCCAAAGCACCGTTCCACTACCTCAATATTAGTAAGAGACGGTTCAGATTGTACAAGCTCTTGAATTTCAGCCTATAAAATACAAGAATGTTTAAAATATTTCACTTGAATCAATCTAGAGAGAAAATGTTTAAATGAAATTTATCGATAAACTATACATATTTTTCATTGGTTTCGGGTTCGACAAGACTCATTTCCCTTTTTAACGAGTCTCAAAGAAGATAGTTGCCATGTTTGGTGGATTACCATCTTTGCCTCCCTTAACAATAAAAAAAGTAAGTACTATAAGATCTTTTATACAAAAAGGAGGTTTCCTCGTAGGGTTTCATGATTTATTTACCAGTTCATAAATAATCTCTCTTATAGGCTTGCTACCCGTACGATGAGGCATACACAACTTAGACTTGTTGATTGTGTTTCTTGTACTTGATTCCTGCAATAACAACACAAGCTGAAATTATCACAAGCTTGTTTAATGATTCTATTTTTATTCTTAAATTAACTTTTGTAACTACTTTGCATCCTCTTGATCACAATGAAATCATTTAATCAAAAGAACTATTCCAAAAACAGTAATCATATGTGACTTGGAAATAAAATGATATTAATCAATAGCTATGCAATCATACCTTAAACTTTTTAGATAAAAAATGTTCCTTGACCAACCATTCCCAATCATTCTTGTCTACTCCTATTGGCACATCTTTTAGAACCTCATGCAATGACTTGGATTTCATATTCTTGTGCACCGATCCTCTCCAATTGTTCCAAAGCTTTCTCATATGTTGCAAAACATTATCTCTTTGATCATTCATGTTATCACAGTCAAACTTTTCTTGAAATAGAGAAAAATATCATCAGAATCAGAGAAAGACACCTTTGATTGCAAGTTAATGTTCTTGATTAATGGATTGAAGGGTTGATCTTACATGTCAACTATGTAAGAACTTTATATGAGGAGGTACTCCAGATCATAGAAAGACACCTTTTACTGTTTGGGATAAGGTGTGCCTCCCATATATAATTTTTGAGGACTAAAGGTTAAGGGATGTATGAAATGGAATGAAGCTTCTGTTGGCAAACTACTATATATAAGGTTTCAGAATAACTAGACATCCTCTGGGTAACATGGACACATGCAGTGTATATGAAGTAATATGGCAATATATGAGATCACATACCACCTATAGATTGTTGTTGCTACTGGAAGAAAAGTTAACATCTACTAAACACGTGGGATGGTTGATTAGTAACCAAAAGAAGAAAGTAACAAGTTGAACAAAGAGTAGAAACGTACGTAATCAGCCACCAGGAGTTAAGGAGTTATAGGGGTCCAGACCAGTCTTTGGGAAGCATATCTTACTTGGACAAAATTTATGCAACCAAAGCATAATTAAATTTATCCTCTGGTTGGCAAACTAGAACAAGTTGCTTACGAAGACTCGAATGATGACACTGAACATGCAGGTGCAAGATGCAAATTGTTGTGTATGTTTAACAGGGGTAGTAGAAATTCCTCAACACCGAGTGTGAATGGATTACGACATATTCTGGCTAACTAGACAGAGGTACAAATGATTTAGAAGGATGTCCCACAAAGTTTGAAATTGTGTAGAAGAAAGAAATGGAAGCAAACATAACAGGAAGTCTAGGTAGCAATATGGGATGTAATGATTTACCACACATGGAAAGCCAGGAATTGGAAGATATTAGGGGCATAACTGTGAATACAAGTTTTGCAATTGTACAGATAAAAAAGAGGTGAGAGCTAGAACATTTATTCTGCAAACACAATGGGTGCCGCGAGGTGTCAGATTTCACTTAGGAGACTAAATATAGAGTGAATAGTAAGACTGAGGGGGGAATTTTTTTGTTTGTTTTGGTAATAGCTATTCTTAAACAAAGACCATAATAAGGTGTAAACAAAGGCAACACCATAATATACTCTAAACAAACGCAAGAAGAAGAGGGGAAAAATATTGTTGTTATAGTAGCAACGGTTTCAAGTTAGCGAAAATAAAAGAGAGTAATGTTGTAATTCTTACTGTAACAGTTGCCCACATATGCTCAAGTTTGTGCTCTTCGATATCCATCCATGAGTGTACCCGCAATGGGCACATATTACGATCACGAACTAGCAAACCTAAGTGTCTTGTAAATGAGGTGTGATTCGGCCCAACGACATGATTTTGATAGAAAGTGACTTTTAACTTTTCTCCAGGTCTTAATCGCAAAACTTTCTTATAAATGTTTGTTCCCCTCACCTTGGTTGTCCTATCATATTCACTTGGACCTGCAAAATTTTAAGTAAGTCAACTATGCTCTTTGATATAAATTTGATCTGTAGTGCTAAACCATCAAAAGAATCTGGAGAATACTCCAGTAGTTAAGTTTTAGGTGTCAACTTTTGAAATTACTACTGTATACAATGGTCTGGTCTTTTTAGATCTATAAGACCAAATATGCAAAATAACATTCTATCTGGTTTTCGACAAGTACACATCCATAGTTCCAAACCAAGTGACAACTAGACAAAACGGGCAGAACATAGCCCATTGCAAGAGATAAGGCCTCAAGTTGCCAAAAAAATGTGATACAGAAAGGGGCAACTAGCAGTGAAATAAATTTTGGAAAGCTTAAGATCCCAAATCAGTGACTTTTAATTTTTAGAAACTTTCATTCAGAAAATCACAATTGATGAATCAAGAATCGGTGAAGGTTAATATGGTTAGGACTAGTGAAAAAAAACATAATGAAGCATCAGATGTCAAATACATAGGAAAAATAATTTTTCAGCTATTTTACAAGTAACATCAAGAAAAGAAAATATCACACGGAAGAAAATACATACTAGTTTCATTTCTCGTAGCATCTTCAGCCACTTCAATCACTTTCTTAGCCTTTTTAGACTTTAATAGACCTGCAAATTATAATATTAAAACAAAATAAAACTTCAAGCCAACTAACAACAACAAAGAATTACTCAAAAGAAAGTAATATATACTAGTATCACTTCTCTGAACATCTCGATACACTTCAGTCATTTTTTATGCCTTATCATATCCAACTGGACTTGCAAAGTTTAAAGCAAGTCAACTATGCTCTTTGATATAAATTGATCATTAGCGCCAAATAATCAAAGGAATTTGGAGAATGATCCAGTAGTTACGTTTTAGGTGTCAAGTTCTGAAATTATTAATGTATACAATAGTCTGGTCTCTATAAGAATGTAAGACAAATATCCAAAATACCATGCTATCAGGTCACTAAATTTCCTTCTCCTTTGAGAGGTACCAATCCACAGTTCCAAACCAAGAGACAACTAGACAAAGCATGCAGAACAAATGTGAGAATCCCCACAACTGTATTTCTTTTATCCATGTGATTCCACAGCACAGTTCCAAGCCAAGTCACAACTAGACAAAACAGGCAGAACATTGCCCATTGCAAGAGATAAGGCCTCAAGTTGCCAAAAAAATTGTGATACAGAAAGGGGCAACTAGCAGTGGAATAAATATTGGAAAGCTTAAGATCTCAAATCACTGACTTTCAATTTTTAGAAACGTTCATTCAGAAATCACAATTGATGAATCAAGAATTGGTGAAGGTTAATATGGTTAGGACTAGTGAAAAAAAAACATAATGAAGCATCAGATGTCAAATACATAGGAAAAATAACTTTTCGGCTATTTTACCAGTAACATCAAGAAAAGAAAATATCACACGAAAGAAAATATATACTAGTTTCATTTCTCATAGCATCTTCAGCCACTTCAATCACTTTTTTTTCCTTTTTAGACTTTAATAGACTTGCAAATTATAATAATAAAATGAAATAAAACTTCAAGCCAACTAACAACAACAAAGAATTACACAAAAGAAAGTAATATATACTAGTGTCACTTCTCTGAACATCTTGATACACTTCAGTCATTTTTTATGGCTTATCATATCCAACTGGACCTGTAAATTTTAAAGTAGTCAACTATGCTCTTTGATATAAATTGATCATTAGCGCTAAATAATCAAAAGAATCTGGAGAATGATCCAGTAGTTATGTTTTAGATGTCAAGTTCTGAAATTATTACTGTATACAATGGTCTGGTCGTTTTAGATCTATAAGACCAAATATGCAAAATAACATTTTATCTGGTTTTCGACAAGTACCCATTCACAGTTCCAAACCAAATGACAACTACTTGCTTGTGTATATTGTGTTAGAGCTAAATAATTGAAAGAATCCGGAGAATGATCCAGTAGTTATGTTTTAGGTGTCAAGTTCTGAAATTATTAATGTATAAAATGGTTTGGTCTCTATAAGATTGTAAGACAGAATATCCAAAATACCATGCTATTGGATCACTAAATTTCCTTTGCCTTTGAGAGGTACCAATCCACAGTTCCAAACCAAGGAACAACTAGACAAAGCATGCAGAACAAATGTGAGAATCCCCACAAAAAACAAAATGTAATACAGAAAGGGGAATGGACACAATCTAAGAAAGATGTTGCTGAAGCAAGATTGCAATTCTTCCAGAATGGAGAGTTACTGAGACAAATAACTACTAATATTGTACTTTTCTCGAAGGTCCTTGTTCCTGAAAATGCTAGTCATATACAGGGTTGTCTTAACCCCTAGGCCACTAAAGCCATCGCTTGGGGCCCCATATTTTTTGGGGCCCCCATTTTTAAAAAATAATTACTTATATATATTGTTTTAAAAAAAAAAATTATATGTACTATAAGTGCTATGATTTCTACTAAAGAAATTGCATATGACATGAATACAAATATAATTTTCGTAAGAAACAATTTGATGAAAATATGGATAACGAAATCACTAAGTCCCTCGAAGAATCTGTAGAGTTGATTACATTATATATGTAGAGTAGATCAAACTATTTTTTCACTTTAAAATAGATTTGAACCAATTGAAGCATATAAAAATATTTTTGATTTCTTATTTAGTGGTAAAATATTGAGATTACTAGATGATGAATTTTTTTTAAAAATATTGTCTTAACCTTGAACTTTCTTTAACACATACTAGTTATTCTGAATTGATGGTTTAGATTTATTTTTTGAAGTAAAAGTGTTAAAGATAAACAATACAAGTAGAAGATAATGATGTAATGAAAATACTCAATCAAATAAAAGATTTGATTCTTTTCCAAATACACATATTGTGTTAACAGTTCATAACCATTGCCTCAACCAAATTTTTCTTCGTTCGAAATTAAAATTGATTAAATTTTCTTTAAGATCAACAATGTCTCAAGATAGATTGACTGAATTAGCTATATTATCATTTGAAAAGGAATTATTAAAATAAATTGATTATAAAACAATACTTAATAACTTTGCATCTGAAATAGCTAGAAAAGTATATTTTAAATAAAAGTACATATGATGAAAATAAAATTTAGGGCCCCTCTCTTAAATTTCGCTTTAGGCCCCCAATGTTGTTGAGTCGGCCCTGGTCATAACTCATATACTAACATATCTATTTCCTAGGGAAGCGAGTCATAGATAATTTGTTTGCTGCTTTATAGGTAACAACAAGAACATACTTTCTATTTTGATTTCCCTTGGAACCTTGAGCCACTCCAACCACTTCTTTTGCTTTTCTAGATTCAAACGAACCTGCAAATTTAAGTGCAAGTAAAAAAAATCAAGACTTCAACTCAACTAACAGAAAGAAATTGCACAAATAAAATAAAATAGTAGTATCACTTCTTTGGGCAACTCGAGGCACTTCAATCACTTTTTTGGACTTACCGAATTCAAAAGGACCTGCAAATTTTGATGGAAGTCAACCAAAATAAGAAATTTATTCCCATTAGTAACAAAAAGAATAGAAAGGAGATTAAGTAGAGAAAGCTAAGTAGAATTTCTTGATCAAACAGATTAACCAAACTAACTCTTTTGCAAATGATCACTTCTTTGAGTATCTCGAGTCACTTCCGTTTCTAGAAAGAGGGTGTCATTGTCTTCCATTGGATTAAAATCAGGAGGCACAGGGATACTTTTCTTTGCTGGCTTATTTTGACTAGAAGTTGTTGTAGTATTTCTATTTTCGCCAATCATAGTCCTTTTTTCAGCATTAATCCTTAAGCTTTGTCCCTGACCCCTTGCATCACTGGTCAAAGTGTATTGATTCATTTCAGCTTCTTGATAGAGGGGAGCATTGTCTTCCTTTTCCTCAAAACAAGGATGCACATGGAAACTATTATCTGCTATCTTATTCAACTTAGAAGTTGATGTATAGTAACTTCTATTTTTGGCAATTGGAGTCCTTCGTTCAGCATTAACTCTAATAGTGCTCATAGATTTCAAACTTTGACCTAGTCCTTTTGCTAAGGCACCTGGCTGAATGAGTTCATGCTTGGGAATTTTTGAAGCTTGTCCCATTTCATACTTCAGAGTTATTGAGGGATTCATGTCAACCTAGTTAATACAAAAAAAAAAAATAAGAGCAAAGTCTTCCAAACAAAAGTTCAAATAGGTTAGGAAGTTTTTCATAAGAATAAATGTGAATTGAAAATGCATTCAGAAAAGAGACAGATGTAAATGTAACATAGGTTCCTAACATGAACCATTACTACTATAGTAAGATCAAGATAACATTAAAGACCAAGTGCATCAAACAAATTTTAATAGAAATACTATAAAGAATCATAACCATAAAAAAATTAATAAAGTAAAGGAAAGCATGACAAAGCTCCAAACCTTAATGAGTTCTTTTTCTTTTCACTTGTGTAAAGTTATCTAACTCTTCTAAGTCATCATCCTTTTTTTCCAAATTATCAAAAGAATCACGAGGTTGAACCTTTTGTACTATGTGCCAACCTTTATTGGAATGATCGATAGCCTAAAATACTTGTGATGCTTCGCTAGCTAATACAAATGGCTCATTTATTTTCAAATATCGCCGACGGTTAACACTTACAAATCCATGTTCATCCGTTTTAACTCCCCTCGTTTGATCATACACATCAAACCACATACATCGGAATAAAATCACTCTTCTTCCCCCAACAAATTGTAATTCAAGAACCTCGGTTAACTCGCCATAGTAATCCATATGGTTTTGCTCTTCACCGGTCTCACCTACTACAACCACTCCACAATTTTGAGTTTTCAAATATTGATCATACTCATTCACATGAAACCTATATCCATTAACAATATGGCCTTTGAATCTTGTGACATATGGCATAGGCCACGTGATAGAGATAGCAAATCTTCCATTCTCTTACTATCATCATGTTTGTATAATTCTGCAACCTAAAAACATCAAATAGCTTTTTAGAAAACAATATTTACATACTTGATTTAAGAAAACTGATTAATTTCTACTCACCTTTTTTTGTAACCAACTAATGAATTTTCTATTCCACTCCACATCTGAACTTTGTTGAGACGTCTCACTATAAATTTGTGAAAATTCTCTAACAAAGAATTGAAGTTTTACATGTTATTTTAAATTAAACATATAGATAAGGTATAAAATAAAATTTATTAGATTAAAATCAATACTTACTCGAGAAATGGTTGAATTTTCATCACAGTTCTTCAAAATATAAAAATGTGTGTCCTCCATATCGTTTGAATCAAGTTTGTCTAGTGTGCTACCCTTTAAACTCTTTCCAAGTTCACAAAATATTGTCAAACCACCCTCAAATTCAATTACACCACCATCATAATTTCTCTCTGGACAATTAAACTTTGTCTTTATTGTATTTAAATACCTTGAACATAAAGTCATACATTCAACTGTTATATATCCCTCTGCAATCGAACCTTCAGGGTGAGCCATATTACCAATAAAACACTTCAAAAAGTGTAGGTATCTCTCTGTTGGATACATCCATCATTATTGAATTGGTCCAGCAATCTTAGCTTCATTGGGTAGATGAATAGACAAGTGCACCATGACATCAAAAAATGCAGGAGGGAACACCTTTTCTAACTTGCACAATGTTATTGGTATTTGAGCTTCTATTTGTTCCAACTCCTCTACGCTCAAACATTTTGCTCCAAGCATTTTGAAAAAAATAGATAACTCAATAAGTGGTTCAGACACGGATTTGCAAAGCATACCACGCATGGCAAGAGGGAGTAAATGTTGTAGAATTATATGACAATCATGAATTTTTAATCCTGAAATTTTTTATCCTTAAGGTTGACACATTGAGAAATATTTGAGGAAAATCCATCTGGGACCTTTAAATTCTTCAAAAATTTGAAAAACTTCTTCTTATCTTCATCAGATAATGTGTAAGATGATGCTGGCAACTCTTATTTATCTCCATTTTGTATTGGATGCAATTCTTTTCGTATTTTCATTTGTTGTAAATCCAATCGAGTACTCAAGGTGTCTTTTGTTTTCCCTTTGACATCTAAGATTGTCCCCAAAATACTATCACATATATTCTTTTAAATGTGCATCACATCAAGATTATGTCGCAACAATAAGGTTTTCCAATAACGAAGATCAAAGAATATACTTTTCTTATTCCAATTATCACCCCTTTTCTTGTGTGATATCTTAATCTTCTTCTCTGGATCCTTTGTTAATGGCAACCCATCTAAATCAGCAACCTGATCAAGTACATCATCACCGGACAACATTTCAGGCGGTAGCCTATGCTCAATAGTGTTATCAAATGACGCTTTATAATTTCTCCATTTGTGACTAAGAGGAAGATAGCATCTATGGCCCATATAACACTGCTTTTGGCCATTAATTAGCCTTGTATAGTGTGTTTTTTTATTGCAACATGGGCAAGCCAATTTTCCTTTGTACTCCATCCAGACAAATTTCCATATGCTGGAAAGTCATTAATGGTCCACAACAAATATGCATTTAACGTAAAATTCTTTCTAGTTGATGCATCGAATGTCTCGACTCCACTTTTCCATAATTCATTCAACTCATCTATCAAAGGTTGCAGATAGACATCAATTGCATCACCAGGCCTCTCTGGGCCAGGTATAAGCATTGACAAAATAAAGTTCTCTTGCTTCATGCAAAGCCAAGGTGGCAAATTATAGGGAATAAGTACCATGGGCCAAATGTTGTACGGAGTTTTTGACATTCCAAATGGTTGGAAACCATCACTAGCAAGTCCAAGTTGTACATTACGAGGCTCAACAACAAAAGATGGGTGAAGCTCATCAAATTTTTTCCATGCCATTGAATCAACTGGATGCCTCATTGTCACGACCCGAGAGCATCCCCAAGTCGTAACATGCGTATTCGACCTCTCGGAGGTCTCATACAAGCCCTTAGCATTCATCACATTAGATATGTAAAATAGTGCGGAATTAAAAACTTTTTAAATAAAATCCCATAAGACTCAAAGGTCACTTTTAAAACATCATTCAAAAGTACACAAGCGGACTACTAAGTCTCTTAGCCATCTTAGACATAAACGTGAAAACATACTAGGGACACGGCCCTTTACAATCAAAAGAAGTCTATTAAGTCTATTACAAGAACCTTATCATAAAACTAGAATAGAAAAGTCTTGTCCTCGACATATGAGGACATACCACAAGATCTTGGAAGAACTTCAAGTTCCAAGTTTACTATAGAACCCGCTTACTTTCCGGAACCTACACTTGTAGAAAATAGAGAAATATGGAATTAGCACAATTAAGTACCAAGTATGGAGAC